CTTCAAAATCTTTGTTTTCAACCAGGATTAAAGGGGAGCTGCGTGTCAGGAGGTCTGGTGACCAAATCATGATCACAGCAGAGATGCTCCTTGTGGCACAGGTGTATCCCCCCAACTTGCAGCCCTCCAGGGCTGGGGAGGGTTTATGTGTGCCCTGCACCATGAAGGCCACAGGGCTGCAGGTGTCCTCTCATTGTTCTGCCTGGGGCTGGTGCCTTTTCCTCTCAGCAGTGACTGTCTGAGTGTTCCCCCCATGACCTGAGCTTGGACAGGCCTTTGACTCAACTTTGGCATCTTGTTAGCACTGCTGAGGATACATTTCCCTCTCTAAGGAAAACACTTTTGTTGAGCTATTTATATCTTCAGAAGGCAAAACAAAAGCACGGGAGAGGAAACCACAGGGAGAGGCCCTGTATAATCCTCTGGTTCAGCAAGGCTTAAGTGGTTTGTGTGATGTTTAAGCCCTCGGGGTGTGACTTTTCCTCCTCTGAGAGGTTTGCTGACCCCACCTGAAAAGGTCAGGCAGGTGTTGCTTCAGCCCTGGGGATAAGCACAACCACAGGCAGTGATTCTTTTTTCCACTCTTCTATTTTCTATTAAAAATGAAGGATATGAGGTTGGAGTTTTACCTTCTTCATGTCACCACTATTTGTCATCTCCACAGTTGTGTCTGAAATGGGGCCTGTTTGGGAGGAATTCTTCTTCCCCTGGCTCCAGCAAGGAGCTTGGTCCCTCAGTTCCTCTTGAAAAACTTGACTGCTTTTCTAGGATCCCCCCTCAGACCTTTTGGGGGCTGGCAGTGTAACTCAGTTGATATCAAACCCACTTTTCCTGGAGAAGTCTGAGCAGAACAGGGCCAGTGCAAAATATATTTTAGTAAAAAAAGAATCCAGCAATATTAGTTTTATTTAATATTTTAATTAAGTTCCACTTTCTATCCAAAGGTGGTAACAGGAAATGAATAAAACCATTAATCTACTAAGTAGCAAGTAGATCTCTTTTAGTATTAAAATATTCGAGTTTAAAAATATGAATGAATAAATATATAAACTAATTGCTTAAATAGATTTATAAAAATAGATGTGTTGTATAAATTCACAAATAAAATTCACTAGTAGAGAGAGAAGTACAAAATCAGCCTGCTGACAATCAGCTTTTCTTTTGAGAAACAACTACAAGATAAAAATATAAATAACATTAAAATTACTGAAATTACACTTCTCTGATATATCAGGGTTGGTTAATTAAATTACCTTGACTTACATTAGTCCATCCTTATTACATGCTGTTGCAAATAAGACAGTATAAATAGTTTTATAATAAATACAATCAATAACACATTCATCCTTTAAATATTAAATTAAACTAGATCATATAGTTATAGAGAATAGCACGTACACTATCAATGTTCATTCTGGCATCAAACTGATAACTCCTGATAGGTCTCATTTACACAGACCTATCTTCAAGGTATTTTTTCATCCTGGCATGTCAAACTGCTCCTTCAGAGTACAGCTTTCCTGTAAGTTGCATGATGTCCTCATATTTCTTTAAAACCCACCAGATGTAGGTTTTTGTGTCTGCCTCGCCCATGGTCTGTTCCTGGGACTCCACCTGGGGCAGGTCCTGGCTGCTGCAGGTGTAGAAGGCAGAGCCTTGGCTCAGCGTGGTGTGCAGCTGGTTGAGGTTGGCCTTGACCACTCCTCTGGAGCTCTCGGTGCAGAAGGTTTCTATGTCGCCTCCCAGGGTTTTCAGAATGTTGTGGATGTGGTGCAAAGCACAGCAGTCTGCCTGGAAAGCTGGACATTTGGATATTCTGTCTGCCATGCCTCTGGCCTTGGACATAACTGTCCAGGGCTCAGAGTGGAATGTTGCAGAGATACACTTGTTCTGTGGGAAAGGAAGAGGAGAGAGAAATTGTTAATCCCTTAGTTTCCCTTTCTCATTTTCATAGCTTTTTGTGGGGTTTTTGGTTGTGTTTCAATCTTGTATCTGCCCTTGCTCCAACTGCCCTGAAATAATGCAATGAACACTTTTCTTCTTGCATGGAAAACAGAGAAGAGCTACTTTAGGTTTTAACCCAAATACTTCTTTTCTGGTAATCTTTCTAGCGTTTTATAATAATTCAAGAGATTTCTCCACAGACATAGGCACAGCACATGGAAAATGGTGCACTTACATAGAATTCAAACAACTCATGTGCTTTCTGTTGTATTACTGATGCCAAGGTCGGTATCTCTGTAGTGAAATGATTCTGCCTCTGTCCTGTAGTCACTTTGCATTCTGATGTCTCTGTTGGTGCCATGGAGCCCAAAGGAACCAGTAAACAGAAGAGGAAGATTGCACACCTGTTGATCTCTGCATTCAGATGAAGAGAGGAAACCAAAAGGAAAGAAAGAATACAGTGATTAGTCTCAATCTTCTGCATAGTTTTTTGCAAATCTTAATAGTTTTGTGCAACGTGATACATTTGTAAAGCATATTGGCTGAGCTAGAGATGAACATTAGCCAGGACAACCTTACAGCCTGTAGGAAGGGTAAGTCACACCCATGTTGTAAGTACATTCTTCTTTCTTTCTATATTTTTCATAGAGGAGCACGGAGGAAAGAAAAGAGAAAGCAGTTTCTATTTCTGCTCCTTGTTTCCCCATGTAGAATATGTTTAGAAAATTGTTTACCTAGGGTGATTGCTTGATTAGATTCTGGTGAGGATTGTTTGAGCCTGATGGCAAATCCAATCCACCTGTGTCTAGACCCTCAACAGAAGGTCACAAATTTTAAGTTAGTTAAATATAGTAGTTAAAAAAAAAAAAGCATGTAGTTTTTAGTATCCCCTTTAAATAGTGTATTAATGTATTATAGTCTAGTTATAATAAAAAAATCATTCAACCTTCTAAACTAAAGTCAAACATCATCATTTCTTCCCACCAAGTTCACCTGCATTTACAATACACCCACCTGCTCTGCATTCCATGGTGGGATAGCACAGCGGTGCTTGGCTGGGAGCTGGCCTTGGGGCTGGTTCTGGAGCTTCTGCCTGCCTGGAGTGCTGTGGATGGGGCCAGGCAGGCTGCATTTAAGTGCTCTGGAGCTCTGGAGTCCTGCGTCAGTGGCTCCCCCACAATACTTTTTTTTTGCTAGTGATAATTTGGGTTTTTTTTCTTTTTTGAAAGATTACATCGAAAGTTGATTCAAATGTGTCTTCGCTGATTGTGATCTACGTGCACAGTTTCAAACTGACATAGAGGGTGTCCTGTGTAATTTCTTTGATTAAAAGCTTGGCGCGGCCATCCCATCTAAATCTTTGGACTCTCCAAAGTGTGGAATTTATTTATAAAGGTGTTTGGGAGCATGTTATTGCTGCCCAAAGCCATTGCTTCTCCTGCAGAGTCACTGTAAGAGTGGGCCAATGCAGGGAGTGAAAAAGGCTTGTGTGCAAGGTAAGTCAGGCCTCTAGTTCCATGCATAAATCCTTTTGCTGGATGCCTGTAAGACCCTGTTCCCAAGGGATGCTCAGGAGCCCCTCTCCCCATCCCCTGTTGCCCATCTCTCCAACTCCCCTGAGGCTGTTTTCTGCATCCAGTAACCAAATGCAAGAAATTCTCATAGACACCAAAACAGAATAGGTGCTAAGTAATGCCAAGGAAGAGATGAGTTACCATGGTACAGAAAGGACAATTCTGGCAGACACTTATTTTATTTGAGGGTTTTATTATTATTTGGTGGGAAAATGGAGACAGAGAGAAAGATGTTTCTTTGTGCATGGCATTCTTTAGGAACGTCCCTACAAAGGCAGTGGTGGGTACAAATGGCTCCTTTCAAGCAGATGGGTGATCTTGAAGGGTTTCTTATTTAGAAACACCAAACCTGCAAAGATGCAGTTGGTCAGTGGCCCACAGGAAGATCTGTGGAAAGTGCAGGAGCTTGTACATAAAAGATGCCACTGGGCACTGCCAGCCCCCTCCCAGCTCTTCCAGGTGGGCAGAGCCAGGGAGATCAGACTGGGATCTGATCTTCCCCCAGGAGCAGGAGTATCTCTTTGTGCAGCACTGAAAGCAACGGGGCCTAGTTATTTTAAACAGTGATGCAAATAAAAGAAGCAGAATTTTTACAGCTTCGCTTTTCCACAAAACACAATTCAACCACTGGTAATTTTCTTTTCAAGACTTTCAGAAGATTTTACTTCATTTTCTCCTAAGGACAGAACTTTACCTGGTTATTCCACTCCAGGACATGCCATTATCTCATAGCCTGTGCATGCTGTACACGTCCTTTCCGGTCTGTACAGGGCTGTGATAAGCTGCTGAGCTGATAAGGGAGCAGGTCAGCATCCGTCCTGTAAAACCCAACCTGAGAAGTTCAGCTTTCCACCACGTAACCATCAGCCTCCACAAAACAACTGCAATTCATTTGGTGAAGTTCTGCTGACACACACTGCTCTGTCAGCTCTCTAAAATGGAATTTGTTGCCATTGCCGCAATACCTATCACTGGAAAAAGGAAATTGATCTCCGCATGTGAAGACCTGATGCTGACCTGATACACAGCTGTGACTTTTGTTCCTGGAGCTCACCTACTTTTTCCAAGTGTGGGAGCTGGTGTTTTCAGCTGAGAGCTTGTTTTCTTGATGGCCTTACATGGTTGTGTGGCAGTGCCCTCCACGTAAAGGGGAGAGCTGGGCTTTCAGAGCTGACTGAGACCCTGACTGCTTCCTCCCTGAAACCCGGGTGACACTCAGGACACAGATAAGGGAAATGGCAAATTCCATGCCACAGGTCCCCTGCCAGGGAAGAATGCTGATGCTGCACCCTGCAAGTGCAGCGTGAGGCCAAACCTTTCCCTGGTGGGGAGCAGCCCCCAGAACCCAGTGGGAACCAGAAAAACAGGGATGTATTCCCAGCCAGGCCAGCTTGTTCCAGACCTGCTCCACCCTCTGCTTGGAGAGTTTGGTTCCATGGCACCATCTCCTAGCAACAGGAACACAAGCCACGGAGCCAGGGGATTCCCTGCCAGGCTGGGGCTGCATGGCAGCACCCGGCAGCGTCTCAGCTGCTTTTCAGGAGCACCTGCAGCACCTGGGGCTGCAGGACTTCCCCTGTGGCCTTGGCAGCTGGGTAGGGGTCTGGGAGGCACAGCCGTGGGATGTGGCTCAGGGCTGCCACTGCTTCTCCTCTCTTCCTGTCCACAGAACAAATCCTGCCACAATGCCAGCACGAGGCCCCGGGCACAGCCAGCAGGGCTGGAGGAGGCCGTGCCACCAGGAGAAGAAACCCCTGAGGTGCTGCTGGAGCTGCTGAGAGACCAGCACAGCCCCTGGGCACTGCCCCCCGACTGCAGCCCCCAGGACCGGCTCCTGCGGGAAGTGGCTGTGCTGGCACCCGAGCTCCTCCGTGGCTCCAGAGTCTTCCAGGTCATCAAGTCCCTGCGGATACTCGACAAGGGGGTAAGTGCAGCTGCTGGTGCCCATAAAGCTGTAGGCCAGGAAACCTTGTCTTCCTGCTCTCAGGGAAAACATGTTGGGAAAAGGACACCTTGGCCACCCCATGGTCTTCCCATACTTCTAGCTGCAGCTAGAGTAGAGCTTCTCCCCACAGCCTCTTGAGGATGTTGTGCTAATCCATGTCACACAGATCAAGACATGTCCATGTCACCCTGGCCACACAGTGCCTCAGGGACAAGTTGGCCAAACCCAGCTCTTTGCAGGTGGAGGAAGTGGATGAGGGTCTGCTGCGGTTCCAGCAGCTGGAGGAACTCATCCTCAGTGCCAACCACATCAGCAGAGTAAACTCAGCCCACCTGCCCCGGACTCTGAAGGTGAGTGGGCAGGGCCTTGTGCAGCATGGGGCAGGAATTCCCATGTGGGAACACAGGGAAAGCCAAACAACTCAAGGGGGTGCCAGGAACAGCTCGTTGCCAACGTGTTTGTTGTTCCTTCTGTCCTGGGCAGGTCCTGGAGCTCTGCTATAATGTTGTGGGTGATCTGCAGGACCTGTCTGCTCAGCCACCCCCCGAGCTCCAGCACTTGGGGCTGGGCTACAACCGGCTGTGTGGCCCTTTCCAGGAAAAGCACTTCACTGTGGATTTCTGGTGATGCCACAGGCTGAACATGGGCTCCCGAAAGGGAAATGAGCAGATGTGAACAGTTGACCTCAAGCCATGAAGATGGCCCCTTTTGGGAAAATACAGAAGGGAAATTTTTGGGAAAATTCAGCAGGGTTGTTTCTTTGCTCTGTGTCTACTCTCTGTGCAGAGCAGTCTGTCTCTGCTGTCTTCTGTCTCATGCCCAGAGGTTGTTTTAGTCCTTAGCAAGGTGTGGAATGGGAAGATCACCAGAGGAATTGCCCTGACACCCTGCCCATCACAATTCCATTTCCCTGGGCAGTTTACTTTTTTCGTGTCCTTCCCAAAGCCACTGCTGGAAGTCTGTAAGCGTCTGAAGCATAGACTGCATCACCAAATGGTGCAGTGGGATCATCAATGGATGCTTAAGAAATGTTTCTGTGTTGCGGGGCAGACTGGCAATGGACTGTATAGCTCAGGAATCTGGAACTGGCCTCCAGATTGGATTCCTCAGTTCAACACAGTTTGTGCTGGGGAAATATGATTTTTGTTTCTGTTTTTGCCTCGGGGCTGTAGCTTTCTATCTTCAAATAGGTGCTGGCTGCCTTACATCCTTCTCTGGGTTCTCTCCTTAGGCCAAACCTTGTCTCCCTTGACCTGAGCTTTAACAGCCTCACAGACCTGCTGGGGCTGGTCTCCCAGCTGTCCACTCTGCAGAACCTCCGCATCCTGATGCTCCAAGGGAACCCACTGGCTCTCATCCCCACTTACAGAGGCTTCCTTGTGGACAGCCTGCCCAAGCTGTTCATCCTCGATGACATCCAAATATGGCCTGAAGAGAGGCAGCAGTTCCGTGGGCTGGCAAGGCAGCCAGGTGAGCCCCGCCTGCTGACCCTGTGATTCAGGAGTGGGGTTTGCGTTGTGGTTGAGCTGTGCAATTACAGGCGAGCTAGTTTCAGACTTTGGCCCAAGAACAACCAATCCCTGTCCCAGCACTGCCTCAGTGTCCTGGGCTACCTCAGCTTTTCTTCCCAGACACCAAATTTCAGATCATGCATTTCCCTCCTGATCTGTGGCAAGAGGAACATCAGTACTGGAGAAGGTGATCACAGAGTGCTGCACTGTCTGCACACAGCAGTGCCACCTCTGTGGCACATCCCTGACTGTGATGAGAGCAGGAGGCTGGGGACACCTGGGATGGGAAGCCTCTCTTGATGGCCCCTACTCAATGAGATTGTGCTGGATGTGTTTTTTGGAGATTCAAATGTTGAAGGAGCAGAGCAGCCAAGCCAGGAGGTGTTTGTGTGGCTTTGTAGTGACGCCACATGGCAGTGGTTTGTCACAGCATTTGCACAGGCTGGTACCAAGGGATGCCAGCAGGCGGAACATGAAACCTGGAGGTTTCTGCTTGCTCTGTTCCTTCCTCTGGAAGGGAAATGCTGCAGCTTCATGGCAGGATTGTCTTGTTTTCAGAGCTGATCAGGAATGAAGCACGAGTGGTTGTGAGCATTGGGGACATGAAGGGGCTCCCTGATCCCAAAGCTTTTCAGCAGCTGGAGGTTGGCTCCGAGGGTCCATTGATCACCTACAGCTACTATGTGACCTACCAGTTTGCAGGAGGAGGGGAGCCCAAGGACAAGGGCAGTCCTGAGGTTTGTGTTTGATTGTGCTCCTGGAAACAAGCAGCATGGCAGGTCACAGCAGGGGGAACTGCATCTCCAGGCTATGGGGTGATGGGCCTGGTGTGGGGAGCAGCAGTGCTGGGGACAGAATTCCCATGTGGCTGCATCTAGCAGGACAATCCCCAGCTGCCCACATTCCACATCCCTCTTGGGGAGCCCAGAGCTCTGCACAGGGGAGTGCACTCACAGCCCCACAGCCTTCCTCCTGCTGACTGTGGCACTGAACTCCCCTCTTGCCATGAGGGTGGGCTGGAGAATAGGATTTTTGGAGGCAGATCCATCTATTCCAGGGAACAAAAATCCACCAGAGTTCCACAGTGGCCACACTGGATGTGGACAGCTCTGCTCAGGACACAGGAGAAACGAAAAGCCATCAGAAACCTCCAGCCACAGAGGAGCCCAAGGCCCACTCTGGTAATGAGGAATTACAGATCTTCTGTTCCATGACTCAGGGCAGGTTTATAGCTCATTGTGGGGGTGGTGGCATCAGGATGTCCCTCACAGGGCCAGCTGGGCTGTTCTGCAACTGATGGATAATGACCTGGCACCAGCCATGCTCTGAGCGTCCTTCTGTCCTGGGGAAAGAGAGGTCTCTGGACTTTTTTGTTTCCCTACACAGCGAGGGTGTTTGCCACCCCTGGACAGCCCTGGGCAGACACCATCGACTGCAGCTACAGGAAGGAACACATTGCCAAGAACTTGGTGGGGCTGAAGTCCTACCTGGAGACTGGAACAATTGTCTCAGTTGTGGAGGAGAAGGTGAGGGTGTGGCTGAGCTGGATGAAGGGGGAAGAGCTGCTGGGACGCCCAGCCAGTGGCATCACATTCCCTCTGGGAGGCAGGCTGGGATGGCAGCTCCTCTCTCTGGGCAGGTGCTCGCATGGCCTGTAGATCCAGAAGAAAATGCTGTCACAAATAAGGAAGGACAGGAGCTGAAGAAGAACCGTGCAAAGGTAGGGTGCCAGGAGAGAACAATGACTAAATTCTCTCTGAGTTGCAAAAACAGTGATGGGAGAACAAGGACCCTTCTCCTGGGTCAGCCTGGTGTGTCAGAGACCTCTCCCAGAGTCCCCCCTTTCTGTGGGGGGAAGGCAGCAGCTGTTGACACACACCTTGGCCAAGATGCAGTGGTGGGCAAAGGGCTGGGTTGGGGTTGCTTCTCTCTGATAAAGGGACCCCAACCTTCTGCTGAGGCCTGTCCCTGTGTCCAAGGACAAGCAGAAAAAGAAGAAGAAGCAGTCATATGAATTCCGCAGCGACCCTCCCATTCACAGCACCCTGGGCACCACGAGGGTGACCTTAGAGACCCTGCTGGCCACCGAGGACCTGGTGGCAACTGTGTGTGACTTTGGGATCCTGATCCCTGAGAAACCACCAGAACCACCAGTTCTGGAGGAGAAGGTAAGGAGCATGTCCCAGGGCAGGGCTGCAGGCTGGAGTTCAGCAAATGCCCTCTCTGGCCTGGGCATCCATCTGTCCATCCCTCAGTTCTTCTCTCCCCAAAATGGGGCTGAAATAGCCCTGTCTGACCACCATCCATCGCTGTGGTGTGGTTATTTAACGCTGATATTAGTGAGCAGTTCTGCTACTTTTTTTGGGCCTAGGAAAATAGATGAGTTTATTTTTCCATTCCAGAATGTGTAAGCAGCCATTTGTGCTTCCTCTGGTGCTCTCTCTCAGCATGGCAGCACATACCAGCTGTACCAACTTTCTGTTTCCTGGATTCTCTTCTCTGAGCAGCCACTGTGCTGTCGTCCTGCTCCCCCTCACCTCTGTCCCTGCCCCTGAAATCCTGGTGACAGCACTCATAATCATGATGACAGCTGCCACAGGACTGAATGAGGGCAGTGAGTTTCAACACACCCTTATTGTGGAAACATCTCTCTCCACAGGAGGTCAAAAAAGGCAAAGACAAGAGCAAAAAATCCAAAGCAAAGAAAGGAGACCAGAAAACCGCATCTTCCGAAGGTGACAGAGGCTGGAGCTGGCGGGACAGAGGGTGGGGTGTGTGAGAGAGCAAACAGGAGCAGGCGGTGCCCGGCCACACTGCCAGCTCCAGGAGCAGGGACTTACTCACATCCTGAGCCTCGGGCCCTGAATACCGACATTGACTGCGGGGCTCTCAGAATAGCCTGGACTCTTTATGAGTCGGTGTCTGCAAGCACCGAGGGTGGGCTGCCAGCTGCCCTGGGAGACACACACCTACAGCACCCTGTGCCAGAGGAGATGGGCAAAGCAGATTTTTGGGTGAGAAAAGCGCTGCCCACTGTGTTGGCTGCCAAATGTGGGTGGTGGCGTGGGCGGGCAGCTGGGCAAGGGCTGCCTGGGATGCATAATGAGCTCCTCATTCACTGCCAGCTCACATCTCCAAGCACTTTGCAGAGGGGATTATTGTTCTCTCTGGTTTGGAGATGCAATGCACAGAGAGCCCCAGGTGCCCCAGCCAGCCCGTGGCAGGGCTGGGAACAGATCCCAGTCTGCTGTCACCCACGAGGACACCACCTCGACCCCGCTGGGGGTGTCCCGTGCCTCCCCAGTGTGGAGCTCAGGGCTACTCAGCCAGCAGCCTTGCTTAAGCTGCCAGAGACAAACCTCACCCTGCCTCTTGTAGGTTATTTTTCCATCAGTCTTGGTTCTGACTGCAAAAATAGCAATGCCAGCACATTGAAGGGGTAACGCAAGAGCGGGAGGAAGTGGGAGAGGGAAGGGGTGGCCAAACAACGCTGAAAAGCTGCTCGTGGGTCAAGGACGGCATGGAGAGGGCCAGGCCTCAAAGCACTGCTCAGAGCTACCAAAGGACTTTTGTGTTCCTGCTCTGGCATCAGATTTAAGAGTGCAATTAACCCAGAGAGCTCCAGGTTGCTTTCCTGTGCTCTGTCACCCACAGCAAGGTCCCCATCTTTGGGGGGGCTCTCAGAGCTCTGCAGTCCTGGGCTGCATTCATGGAAGCTGGTGGCCTCCCCTAGCAACCCGAAAAGCAGAAAACTCATTGAATTGCTGTCCCCCACAAGAAGATGTGTATTTGCAATGTACACTCAGCCTGTTGCTAGAGCAGGCAGCTGCTGTCAAACAGCTCAGCTTCAGCCGTGGTTGTTTCTTCCTTCCTTCTCCCCCTGGTGTGTGGTCAGTGCGTGCAGGAGGTTTCCCTTCAGCTTGAACGAAGGTAAAAGTGCTGTTGTGTGCACAGAAGTGCTGCTGCTGCAGGAAACCCAAAACAATTAGACAGACATTTGTGCTTAATTTGGTGTCCTCATGTGCCTGTGCAGGTGGGGGCTGGCTTGGCTGCACTGTGAGGCCACTGAGTGCATATTTCAGATTGTGAGTGCAAAATTCACAGTGCCTAAAGATGAACTGCCCCACAGCCTGCTACACCCACTGTCCCATGGCTGTGACTCATTGAACACCCCAGTTGTGGCTTTTTTGGGGGGCTGCTCAAGGCCTGCTGAGCTCAGTGTCTGCACATCCTGCCTGCCCTGTGAGTCACCAGCTGCTCCGGGGGTGTTTGACACTTTCACATCACCTGGGGACTGCCCTTGGAGCTGTGACAGTGGCCATGCCCCGGGGACAGGGGAGGACTCCCAGCCCTGTGTCCGGCAGGGCTGAGCAGGCACTCTCACAGCCGGGAACTGAAGCTGATTTGCATCCCTCAGTTCAGCAAATGCACACAAATAATAAGTCTTCTCAGAGGAATTGGGATCACTTCCAGACGGCTCAAAGAGGAAAGGCAGCAGGCTTTGTCACAAGTGAACCATTTGCCCAGACACTGAAGGATGTCTTCAGAAGTAGTCTCACGTAGGTCTCATTTTACCTCACACTTGATTTTCCAGGATCCTTGAAATAATTTATTTCTGCATCTTTTGTTTGCCCTAGGGCAGTTTCACAACAAAAAGCAAGTCTGCACCCAGGTCAACTGCCAGCCAAAGATGCTTTTTGGGCTTATCATCCAAAATCATATTCAGTTTTCCCTGAGGCCCAGTCAGTGCTGACACCCTTGCACACTGCTGCTTGTAGGATCATTTACTCTCTCAAGACAGTGACAAATGTACTTCTTACCACAGGAAAAGGAAAAAACAAAGACACTGCTGAAGCAGAGGAGGGTCAAGAACTCCAGCCAGTGCCGCTGACAGTTCAATTCCAGATGCAGCTGCTTCGATGGCCCTTGGCAGCCAACACCCAGAGCCAGAAGAACGTGGCCAGGCCCGTGGGGAAGACTCAGTGATGTGTCCACAGCAGAAGCACGAGTGGAAATAAACCACACGGGAACGCTGCGTGGAGCTGCTTTAGCTGAACCGCCAGAGCTGGGAGATACCCGGGGACTCCTGGTGGTCTGTGCCCGGTGCTGAGCTCCTGCAGGAGCCGGAGCAGGCAGGGGGTGCGGGCTGGGTGTGCCGGGCCGGGGACACGCGGCCCCGGTGCCAGCGCCCCGCGTCCTCCGCCCGCGGGCGGGGCTCGGCAGCGGCGGGGCGGGGCGGCGGCAGCTCCCGGTGGATCGCGGAGGGAACGGCAGCTCCCGGTGAATCGCGGAGGGAACGAGGGAACGGCAGCTCCCGGTGAATCGCGGAGGGAACGAGGGAACGGCAGCTCCCGGTGGATCGCGGAGGGAACGAGGGAACGGCAGCTCCCGGTGAATCGCGGAGGAGGCTCCTTCGCCGAGCAGGGCAGGGCTTTTGCCGTGCGGGGTCACCGTGGAGCGGCGGCTCCAGCCCGGTCTGCGCGCCCCGGCGGGGCCGGGGGCTCTGGACCGTCCTCACCGGCAGCACCGGGTCCTGGTGAGAACCAGGGGAAGCAGCGAGACACGTCCCCGTCCCGGGTAAGGTGGGAGGGAACGGCTCGTCTTCATCTGCCCGCCCGGGGCCGGTCCTGCGCCGGATGCTGCCATGTATCCCAGGATTAAAAGCCTCGTGCTTTACATCTTCTCAATCACGCTGCTGGCCTGGGTGTTTTACATGAAGAAGGAAGCGAAGTTGGCAGCATCATCAGCAGAGCACAAAGTGGATGTGGTGGATCACAGACTGCAGCCTTCGGTTCTGGACAGTGCTGAGCACAGCAAGTGTGTGCCGAACTTGACCTTTGCCAATGCTTTTCTCACCCTCCCGGAGCCTCACCGAGTCTTCCTAACCTACAAGCACTGCAGGAACTTCTCGGTCCTGCTGAGGCCTTCCAGGTGTAGCCAAGAGATGTTCCTCCTGCTGGCCATCAAGTCTTCCCCCATTAACGTGGACCGGCGTGTGGCCATCAGGAACACGTGGGGGAAGGAGGCGTCCATCGGGGGCAGGCGCATCAGGCTGGTGTTCCTCCTAGGGCGCTCCGAGGCCAAAATCCAGCTGCAGCCCCTGCACCAGCTGCTGGCTTATGAGAGCCAGGAATTCAATGACATCTTGCAGTGGGATTTTGTTGATGACTTCTTCAACCTGACCCTCAAGGAGCTGCATTTCCTCCGCTGGTTCATGGAGGACTGCCAGCACGCCAGGTTCGTGCTGAAGGGTGACGATGATGTGTTTGTCAACACTTACAACATCGTTGAGTTCCTCCAGGAGCTGGACCCTGAACAGGATCTCTTTGTTGGGGATGTGATCGCCAACGCCCGGCCCATCAGGAACACCAAGGTCAAATATTTTATTCCAGAGCTCATGTATGGGGCCACCTTCTATCCTCTCTATGCAGGAGGAGGGGGATACGTGATGTCCAGAGAGACAGTGCGTCGCCTCCAGAGCACCGCAGAGGACATGGAGCTCTTCCCCATAGATGATGTGTTCGTGGGAATGTGTCTGGCAAAGATGTCAGTGATCCCAAAGAACCATGCTGGCTTTAAGACTTTTGGGATCCAGAGACCTTTCAATCCTTTTGATCCGTGCTTGTACAAAGAGCTGATGGTTGTGCACAGACTGAACCCAACGGAGATGTGGATCATGTGGACGCTGGTGAAGGATGACAGCATTAGGTGTGCGGTGTCGGTGACACACAGCTACAGCAGGGGCTGGAAAAGGACCTACTGATGAGCCCAGTGGGATTGTGGCTGGTGACAGGGTACTTAAACTAAAAATCAGGTCGTGGTAGAAACGTGTACGTTACTAACAGACTGCACTGGAGCTGTTGTGATTTGGTTTGCAGTGAGTTTTTCTGTCAGGGGTTACTTGAACCAATTGAATTGTCACAGGGTGGGGATGTGGTCAGTGGCTTCCCAGCCAGACTGTGTCAGGGCAAGTCACAAGTGCCACCTGCATGGTGTCTGACTGCTGGCCAAAGTCAGTCTCATGTGGGACAGCCAGCAATGACTAAGGAGTGATACAGCATTTGAAATTTACTTGAAGGCATGGAAGAAAGGCCAGTATGTCCTGCTGGGTCTGCTGTCCCAGGGCAGCGACCCCACAGCTCCTAGCAGACAGGAGGAGAAAGGGATTGGAGCGGGGAAGGAAAAGCTTCAAGAATAACATGGCCTTAACACAGCAGTGACCATGATCTGAGGGACTGGGCTCTGCCCCCAGCCCTTTGGCTTTTGCATAAACTCACAACAGGTTTACATGCACTGGAAACTTTAGCACAAACACTTTCTGATCTGGTTTAAGAGGAGCCACGTGTTTTGAATAATTTTGGTGGTAGGAAAAGTGGTTGTAGCGTCCCATGTTGTGTGGGAGGTGTTTGGTTTGTTGTTGTTGTAATGTGTATAAATAAAATATTTTTCAGAAATATTTACATGGGAATATTCTTAGGTCTTCTGAAAGCTAAGAGCCCTAAAAGCCAGGGAAGGCTGAGATGTGGTGCTGGGTATTTGCATTAAAGAGGATAATGTTAGTGGAAATGGATACTGGCACTTCTGTGAGTTGTTCTCTGTCCTGTTCAGACAAGATGCATTGACCCAAAAGTGATAAATCTGAATGTGCTGGAGTTGCTAATTTGAGAAAAGATCAAATATAGAACTAGGTTTTGATGGTACTTTTGTGAAGCTTATCACTATCTTGCTGCTAGAGCAGGAGCTGTGGATGAGCAGGAAGCAGCCTGGAAGCCTTAGGGGGAAAAAACAAGCAAATGAGTAAAGAGGAAGTGTGCGATTAGAGCAAGCCGAGCCCTTTGTGCTGTGCTGCTGTAATTGTTGTCTCTAATGCCAATTGCCCAGCACCAGATGGGAGCTGGAGCTTTCAGAAGTGCCCAGGAGGTGCTGCCAGGAGGTTCCTGCTTGTCCTACAGACAGGGACACCCTGAGAGCAGAGGTGTGGGAGCTCTCAGTGGGATGCTGAGGGACTGCTGGTAAGATGTGCTCTCTTGGCCTTCTGGAGCACCTGGGATAGCTCTGGCTGAGCCCCAGGGCTGACCCAGGCTCTTGGGGCAAAGGTGGCACCTCACAGGAGCTGTTTCTGTGCCAGGTGTGAGTAGGGGTTTGTCTCAAAGAATTGGTGGGTATCCATCCTCAGGGTGGTCTTGTGCAAGTTGTTACTGTGTTTTCTGGCTGCAGCTCCAACAGGGTTTCATTAACTGTTGAGAAAGTGCCTGTGTGCAGTTTCAGGTGTGTAAACAAGGCCGAGTGCCAGCAGCAAATGCCAGGCTCTGGGCACAGTTCTCTGGGCACTGCTGCTGGTCCTGGGGAGGACACTGGACAGGGTGGGCACCCGTGGTGCCCTGTGAGCTGCTATGCCAGCACTTTTGTGATCCACTCCATGATTCCCAGTGCAAACTCAGGAGCACAGAGCATGATGTCATGTCTGTTGTGGGCCTAGGTGTGTGGGCTAACCCCCAACTGGCAGCTCTCACAGCCTAACAAAGGTGAGGGACTCTTTTCTGCCCTGTTTTGGGGTGATTAGTGCTCCTCACCCCCACTTTGACTTGGCTGGGCTGACTGGTTGGTTCCAGTCACGTTGGGCTGGATGCGTGTGGAAACAGCTCTCGGGCAGGAAGCGCTGTACGTGCAGTGAAACAAGAAGTGAGGTCACAGCAGGGCTGGGAGCAGGCTCTGAAAGGGGAAGAGGGACTTTCCTGGCTTTGCAGGCTCCTGGCAGTGCCATGCAAACATCTGAGTAGTTACTGTGGCATCCTGAAAGGTACACAACTTGTTTGTGCTCTCGGGTCAGGGGCTTGGCAGATGTTCTTCAGCTGCACAAGGTACCAAAGGAGAGCAGTTGTAGTTAAAGGTTGACCTGAGGCTGCATTTGGCTCCTGAGGGCTCAGCTGTGCCACCACTCCAGTAATCCTCTCATCACAGGAGTTTTTTTTCCCCAATGCTCAAATCCAAAGCTGTGCTTGGCACAGCAGACACAGGCAACCCCCCATGAGCTGAATTCCAGACTGTGCATCCTCCTTGGATACAGCAGCAGCTAGTGAGGAGCAAGCAAAGATGGTTTGTTAATTTTCTTTTTTATACATAATCTATAAATGAACAGTGCTGTGCACCTGAGATTGTATTTGTTCCAAAGGCAGCCAAAATGTGACACCTTTTATGCCATGGTCAGAAAATTCCTGGTCAGGCACAATTCAATTTAGTAACACCACCCTTGACACAGATACATCAGATGCTAATCTGTGGTGAAAAACCTTTGATTAATGTGTGTTTTCTTAAACAACCTGGCAGATGTGGATCCAATCATCAGTGATAAAGTTCAAGTGGATGCTGTTCTACAAAGCAAATTTCACACCCACTGTCAAGTTAGGAAATGAACAGAGCGTAAGACACCTGTGGTTTTGAATCCTGCAGTGAAACATTAAGTTTGCAGAAGAAATAATTAAGATTATTTCCTGAAATTTGCACTGGAAAGCATTAAAATATGTAAAACTATTTTGCTCAGTGCTTTGTAGAACAGTACACAGCAGTTGCCAAAACAATTTTGTTTATAACTATAATATATTGAAAATCAAACCTCCCCCAGAGGTGACTCTGGGTGAAATAAGTTGCTGTGCTGGAAAAAAGTGCACAAAGAGCCTGGGTGACTCCATGAAGTTCTCAGCTCCAGAGCAAATATTTCCCCTGACTGCAGCTCAGTGTAATTTGGTGCAGCTCCCAACTCAGAGGTTGAAAACTTTTAAATTCAAATAGAAAGCAGGGCCTATTCTCTTCCCCAAATGGACACACCCACAACAAGCTGCTTTTGCAGAGTTTAATAAAGCATCTCATCACAGACATTATTTATCTCACAGGTTAAAAACAAGGATTTTTAAATACACTTCTCTGGCTGATCCCTAATGAGCTCCCACAAACAGACCAAGGGAGCAGCAGGACCCTCCAAGCAGAGACACAATTACCACCAGGCCATCCCTGATAACAGTCTTCACATTTGCATAG